GAAAATGGAAATTGAATGTTACATACCAACACGCACACACACACACGCAACCATAGACAGGCAGATAAACACCAAACGCTTTGTTGTTGCTGGCAGACTTTTCCTCTTAGTCGCCTGATGCGCTGGTGCGCCGGTTGGCGGTTGGTGGCGCACACTAAATCAGCCCAGTAAAATTGGTGACTCTGCTAACAGCAGCAGAAGTTGTTGTTGTTGTTGTTGCTGTTGGCGCATGTCTTTTTATTTAGGTAATTTATGCTAACAGCTTTTCACTCTTTTTCCGCAATCAGCAATGAATTGTGAAGACAGACAGCAGGCTTGTGAATTCAGCCACCATTCGTGGCTTGTGTGCGTGTTTGTGTTCGATTGAGTTAGCAACTACACCACTAAGCCGCTAAGCGGTTAGGCAGCAAAATCAACAGAGCAGCACACGGATGGCGGCAACAATGTTTTTCTATTGCATTGTTGTTGTTACTTTTCATTATTGCTTTTATTCTTGTTGTTGCTGATGATGCGCTCGCGCTTGGCTTAGTCCCTGCATTGCAGCGATGCACTTCTTGCCGTTCCCCCACACCATGCTTCGTGCCACAGCCATTAGTTTTGCTTGCTTCGGTGGAAAGTGGAAATAATTTTCGCTTACGATTTGCTGCCGAAATGGCCAAATGTTGCTTGACTCACTGAATTATCCACTGACAAGTACGACTGCTTGAATGTCTAACTGCTAAGCCGTCCAACCGGTGTGCCGTTAATGTCAACGCTAATGTATTGCCACTGAGTTAACCCTTTTCGGCATGAAAATTGACACAACTCGCTTTTGATTTGAGTTCTCTTGCGGTATATACTTGAAGCATATTTTGGTCGCATGCGAACTCTGTTTAGTTTCAGTCCCTTACTATTAACCACTTCTTACCTGAGTTGAAACAATTTTTGTCCAAAGTGATGCCAAACCACTCTCTAGATATTTTGAAAAAAGTCACGGGTCTGTTGGTGGTTTGACTTTTAGTGAAGAAGCTTAAAAGAGAAGCCTCTGTTAACTAGAAATGTTGCTCTTAAAGTTTAAAAGCAAACGAATACGACAAAAACGAGTGGCAAAGCATGTTACGTTACGGATCGTATGAGGATTCTAAAGTATGCTCAGTTTAAGTTAGAAATCAAATTCGTTTTCTCGTTTCCCCATATCAGTGGATTTAACTAATTTATATTCTAGTAGTGTTTTTTTTTTTTGGTGTGGAGCTTCAAAAACTCGTGAGTGGATTGAAGCTTGTGCCTGACAAAATGGGAGTTCCTCTGCATTACTCTAATGTGAAAAAAACCTCAGCCGAAAGTCATCTTATTTTAATGAAAGTTAATGGTGAAGATGCTTTAGCTGAGCGAACGTGTCAAAAGTGCTGATTTTGGCTTGAAGAGCGAAGAACGTCCTAAACACCTTGTTGCCAGACACAGGAAGAGCTTTGGAATCTAGAGAATCATTGAGTGTCACTCAAGCAGCCATTTTCATCTTAAACGCTACAAAAAGAAATCGTTTTTGCATTGGATGGCGACTGGTGATGAAAAATGGTTTTAGTACGAAGACCCTAAACATAATAAATCTTCACATATGACTAATCAGCCGAATCAACGGCAACGCCAAATATTCATGACGCCAAGGTAATGCTCCGTATTTCTTGGAATCATGGTGAGCGTGATGCATTATGAGCTTCTAAACCTAGTGAAACCATTAATCGGGAACGCTACCGACCAACAACTCATCAAATTGAAGCGAGTGATTGCCGATAGATGTACGGACTTTGCGACTAGACACGGGGCAATAATTTTCCATCATGACAACACTCGGACTCATGTTTTAAGAACGGTTAAAACCTATGTAGAAAACAGCGGCTTTGCCCCACACGTCTTATAGCCGAGATCTGGCACCTTCTGACTATCATTTGTTCCGTTCGAGGCGGAATGCACTCACTGGAACACGGTTCACATCAGAACAGGGTATCAAAAATCAGCTTAAGTTATTCTTGACCACCAGTTCTTTTTTGTTGAAATCTACAAATTGCCAAAACTCAACTTCATATTGATAACCTCCTTCCATTTAGGATGCGTAAGAAATACTATAAAGTAATGTTTCTTATAAAACAAGTACGCAATTGAAAACAAAAAACTCCCAACTACCAACAATAAATTTATAATATTTTCTTATGCATGTGTGAGTATGTGTGCCCACAAAACAGGAAAATAGTAAGACGTTAAATCAGAAAATCGTGAGGAAAACACCGAAAAAATAACAAAAATCAGAAGCAACTGCATACTACTGGCAACAACACGAACATACACGAACATACACATATACAGAGACAACATAAACTTGGACAGCGTATCTTTGGGTGTATACAAAGAGACCTCTTCGTCTGAGGTATCTCCAGTCAAAGTCTTGTCTCCTTTGTTGCTTTACCTTAGATGCTGCCAGAGTCTTCTAGGTTGATTTAGAAAGTCTGCGCGGCGCAACACATTTATCGCGACGCTGTCGTGTTGGCTAATAGACAGATAGACGTGCAGACTGTAGGTTTCGCAGCAAATGCGAAAAAATGAAGTAGAATAAATAATCATATGGGTTGCATGTATTTCGCGTGGCGAGGTGAAAATTCTTATGAGCTTGCAAAATGCAAATAAGGCACACAAGATGAAGATGGAGTAACTTATTGTCGGTTGAACTTGTGTTTGTAAGCACAGTGTGTTAAATTTGTATAGTACAAAATATTGGCTTATTAAAAGATAGAAGAAAAACTCTGAGGTCAGCATATTAGATAAGCAATTTTATAAAATAAAACGAACAAATAATAAAACAAAATAAGTAATAAAAAATTAATGGCAGAAATAAAAATAAATGGACTAAGGTAACATGATTGGTCTGCTTAAACTGCTACAGTTATCCGATCTGAACAATTTGTTCGCAGATTGTTGCGTTGCCCTGGTCCATATCAAATTCTGGGAAGATATTTTGTGAAATAAAAAAGTAAAGCAATTTTATTGTGATCGATAAGTTTGTATGACAACTATACGCCATAGTAGTTCGATCCTATAAAAATGTAAACAAAGGCTGTTGACTTGGCTTAATGTAAATAAAAGGGTTACTGAATCCAAAAGCAAACAAAGGTTGTTGACCTGGCTAAATGTAAATAAACTTTATAGACTTGGCTAAATGTAAACAAAAGGGTCATTGACCTCATAAAATGTAAACAAAGGGGTCAATCGCTTCAAAGTGCAAACAAAGGCGTCATTGACCCAATAAATGTAAACAAAAGGGTCACTGAACTTAAAAGTAAACAAAGGTTGTTGACTTGGCCAAATGTAAGGGTTTATGACGTTATTTTTAGTTATATTAATTGCATCTTCAAAATTGTGAAAACCCCAATTCAAATTAAAGCAAAAAATTTTCAAAGTAAAAATTAAATAAAAAATAATTTACTTGTATCTGGAAACTACTCTCATAAAATTGGCAAACATTTTTCTTTGAACTCAGCAAATTAGTTATATGAAACGGATATATAAAATTATTCATTTCGAAAATTGTTTTTTACTATTTTTTTTACTTTTAATTAAAAAGCATTTTTTTAGCTTAATATCCGACTTAGTCCTTTAAATTAGTTTTCTTAGTGTAAAAGTTTGAACTTTTTTTTTAATCCAGGTGGCAACTACACTCATATATATTGCAAACATTTTTCTTTCCTCAAACTGTCACAAATAACTTTCCTTTGTTTTGAATTTTCATTCAAAATATTCTACCAATTTTTTTTTCAACAATGGCCCACCGTGCACCGTTGCCTAGCAAACATCGCTCGTATATGGTAATTTATTTTTGTTGCCATCATTGCACGTTCTTCTCTTGCTGCCTCTGTCGATGTTGCTCTGTTTTAGCAACTTTTTCTACGATTGTTGCTATTTCTGTAGCGCCGCAGCTCCAGTTGCCGTTTTTGTTGTTGTTAGTAAATTCTCTGCAAAGCTTCAGTTAGTTGCTTTTGACCAACGTTGCTCTTCTTTATTGACCACAAATCGCTAAAAGTAGCACTCGGCGGTCACGTAGACGAGCGCGGCGAACGACATACACACACACACGCACATGCGAGCCAGCGAACACACGCACGCACAGGCGGACAAGCGCACAATTTAACTGCTTCGACGCGCACAGCTGGTTCAATAGGCCGCCTAAACCGCAGCATGCGCCACCGCCACAGCCACGCAACTCCGCCGCGTACCTCACCGCGCCAGCGCTCGGCGACTCGGCGTACATTAATTGTGCATTTGCATTTTATCGCACTGCCGCGTACCAACAGCTCGCACTGGGCGATGCTGATGCCGCACTCGCCACACTCGGCGAGTAACATTAAGTAGACGCTGTCGGCCGCGTGTTGAGTAAGCGTTTAGTTGGGGCTTAGCAACCGGCAGCATTTGAAAGAGAAAATCGTCACTTTGGCAACGGGTGAAAAAAATTTCAAGTTCACTATCATTTTCATATCGGTCGAACGTGATTTAGTCGCCTCAACAACATTGATTTAGTAGTACAACAAAAACAAGAAGAACAGCGAATGACATGCAACTATCGACGACTGCCGATCATTGTTGTTGTTGCTTTCTGCAGCGATTGATGCGATTAGCGCCGTGGCACAACTATTCAAATGTGGCAGCATGCACTCACATACATATGTACATATATACGTATTTGTGTGTGTGTGCGTGTGTTTGCGAGCGTAGTCGCATATCGGGTGTCGGTTGCCGGACGCTTTGAGCTGGCAACGAAATGTTGGCGCGTCTAAATACAGCCGCATGCCACACTTTTTCCCACAACGCGCGTATTTTATTCACACAACAACAACAGCAATAGTAATAATTGATTGTACGTTGGCTGATCGACTGGTTATTGGCGACGCCGATATTTTCACTTGATTTTGTATTTATTTTAAGCTCTACCAGCAGCCACAGCTGCCGACGCGCCCACAATATGCTAACAGCCAACATTTGCATAAATTTTTATTAGTTATTTGCTTTTCATTACAACGATACTGTAGTTTGCTTTAGCATTTTCATTTACTTAATGGTTTTTTTTTCGCTACTGCAGGTCTCATGTTATATATTTATTTTACTAATAACTGGGGTTTAATAGAGCATGAAATTTAATATTATTTGTTTCAAGCCATTGAATTGCAGGCTTTATTTAGCATAGTTAGAATGATCCGATTTAGGTCTAAAATGCACCATTTTGTGCAATAACTGTTGCCATTTCGAAGTTAATTTCATAATGCCACTCTCATAGCAATTGACAAAAATCTGGAACAGTCAATTTTCACAAGCTTTTCTTGTGGTGAATTTTTCATCAACTAAGTCATTCGCTATAGACAGCAACAAGTAGTAATCACTTGGTGTAAGTTGCGAACTATAAAGTGGATGCCTTAGAACCTTCCAACCAAGCTCCTAGCGCTTCTAACGAGTTGTTATTGATATATGTGATTACTTTCTTCAGACATTCCAGTTATTCGCAGTACAGATCCAAGTTGAGAGTTTGAACTAGGGGAGCAGCTCACAGTAGATTATTTCCTGCTAATAATACCAAACATATAACACAGCGTTACTGACCGTCAATTCTGGCTTAGCCACCGTTTGCGTCGCCTCGCCGCGATTACACCAGACCATTTTCGCTTGTGATCCACCTTTCATCACCAGTAACCATCTACCTCAGCAATGCATCGATTTTGTTGCGAGCTTCTTTTTGTTTCCAACCTTATTTAAATGGTTCCAAACGGTTTAGCTCCTTAGCAATCAAAACGGCGTTTACATGAAGGTCAAACTTGCCGATTTCCATTATTTTATTGATAATTTCAGTAAATTTGCCTTCCAGAGATGGTGTGTCAGAGAATTTTTTTAATACGAAATCTTAACCTTCCAACGCCATATAGCGTAATCTGATCATAATTAGAAGCTTTCATTTGTCAATTGTTACTCACCTGGGTTTCGTTATGTCATGTGATTCCGTACTAACTCTTATCTGACGAACCGAATTTTTTCCGGGCATATTTAAATATCTCACAATAAATCTTGCATCAACGCTGGAGAATATTCTAAAAATAATTATTTAATTTTAAAACAAATTTTTCAAATTTTTTTGACTTAGTATGAAGATCTCATCTATGCGAGAGATATCTGATGAATTTTTTTTGCAAAAGGAAAATAGTTGAAATTAAGTTTAACAAGAGATCCACTGAAATACTTGCTCTTTGCAAGGTTCATCTTCATTATCCAATGGGCATTCATGCGATAAGCCTAAAAATCTAATAATATTTCATTAACACACGAACTTCTTTTTTATTTGGCGGTCTATAAGACCTCACTCAATATACTATATACCACGAACCAATTATCCAACAACTTTTAACGAGTATTTTTGAAGGTTAGACGCTACTACAAAAAAGGAAATTTAACTTTAGTGGCAACCTCTAGTAGAAACTATATTGACTTTTCAGTCTGTCTGGTATTTAATTTATTTTTCTGACGAGTAAAAAGCGCTTTGACAGATAACGGTAAAAATTGGTGTCTAAGCAATTATGAGTAACTTTCAAAGTTTAACATATCTCAAAAGGGTTCATTTCGGTAATAATTTGGAAGTAAAATTCTTAAACAGAAGCCATTTCATTTAGTATATTGCGAAGATGTTGCGGTAATTTTCATAATTTCAAACTAGTTTTTCCTTCACTTTCACTCTCAACAAACATTAATATTGACAAACTTTTTCTTATTGCTAAAAATATATGTAAGCATGTATTTCTCTAATTTTACTTGTCTTGTTGACTTTTTGCGCCATTCGTTACAAATGTCGTAATTTTGGTTGTCATATTAATATTTATTAGCTTGCAAGTAGGTGAAAATGTTTAGTTGCCCATGAACTGGAAAATATAAGTGAAACGGGTTGATGTGGAGCAAAATTTTATTGGAAAACCTGGTGGTAACAAACGCGCAAGTTTTGTTGATATTGCCATATATAATATAATACTGGCCGGAGACCTAAAAGAAGGAAAACATATTACGAATAGTTCAACGAGTCCACTTATGGTATTTCGGGTAATTTTAGGTTAGTAGGCATAAGTAAATACTTGTTTTTCGGTTCGGTTTAGAAACTAGTGGACAGTGAATATTGTTTGGATATCGCAGGTAAGTTTGTGTAAAAGATGTCACTGAAGAAATGGGAACTGTTAATATCTTGAGACTCGCAATGAATATGAATATACTTGTGCTCGACTCTTGATTTTAAGTTATTAGGTCACTGAACGGTTTTGACCGTAAAGTAATGACCGATATTTCATAATAGATATATTTATATTTCTATTATACCAAAATTGAAGATTTGTAACCAAAACCGTAAGTCACAGACAATACCGATGGAATCTTTGAATAGCTTGCAACACGGACAGGTACCTCGGTAAATCTACTAGCAAAGCTGGTTGCTTGTAAGCATATACGATATACATATGTATATATAAATATTTATATATATTTCTGTACCTTTATATATAAATAGCAATGTCAACTAGCATCAACTGAAATTCTTGCGCTTCGCAAATTTTTTGCATTTCAGCCCACATGACAGACAGATTCTGTGGAACTGGAGCCAGCACAATGAGTGGACGATTAAAGATTAGGAAGAAAAACGAGTACACATTTACAGCTGCGTATGTGTATATATGTACAGCATGGAAGTTACGAGAGCGTCTCAGTAGCGTAGCGTTCAGTCTGCTGGTGGGCAGCAACCAAATGGACGGGCGGACTTGGAGCCAAAGTTGCAGACAAAATGACAGTACGTGCAACAGAGTAAGTGTGGTCGAAAAAATGCGGTGGCTTTTTTCACTTTCATCCACACACGGAGTTGATAGACACATTCACTATCTTCTGTGGGCCTAGCGCGTGATGTGCCAAGCGTCTCGAGTTGGGACGCAGTGGAAAGGCACGAGATCGGTGTCAACAGCGACCGCGCACCGCTTACAGTTTATTGTTTTTGTTTATTTGGGTGCCTAACATTTGCACCAACATACATACACACGTAGAGGCAACTGTTGCAGCGAGTGAATGTGCAACAATAAAAGCAACAACTGGCAAACGGACAGGAAAACATGCCGCATTCCACAGCACAGCGCCGCGGAGGACGATTCAGCGTGAGCCGGTAAGTGTGTGTGTGTTGGCGCATGCATGCGTGCCTTCAGGCCAATCAACGATATGGAAATTGTTCCTCCTTTTACGCGGTGTTTTGCTGTTTTACTTTTATTTCGTGCTCTGTTTCGGTTTTTTAGAAAAAATGCGGAAAATTTAGAAAGTGAACAAATGATCTCCGCGGAAAGTGAAGATTTATTGGTAAATCGTGAAAAGTGCATGGAGCAGATGGCAGTACGCGAATTGCCAGTTACGTGGCAGCAGGTTGTTACGGTTCGGTATTTTTTTTTTTTTTTGTTGGTTTTATGAATAAACAGTACTCTATTTTGTGTTGCTGATGCTAGTTCGATGGAGTCTGAAAATTTTGGAATACCTTGGCCTCATATGTAACTGTGATTACAGCATTTGACCTCCTGGCCATATTCATTAGTAAATTTTGAAAAAATGTATTTCTTGCATATACATACATACATGTATATCGAAAGTTTATGCATATTATTCAGAATATTCTCCCCAACATTTGAAGTTGAGAGTATTTTTAAAAAAATGAGTATGTAGTGTAACCGGCTTTCAAAAATTCAAACGGTTTTTTCTCAAAACGCAGCTTTAAGATTCAGAGAGAAAAATTTCGCCGAAACGGCTGAACCGATTGACTGGAAATTGTCAGGTAATGGTCTAATTAATGAAATTTCTGAACATTTCGATTATTTCACAAAAAAATTTTTTTTTGCTATCCAAAACACAATTTTCTCACCTGTATGCATCTATCCCAAATTTTTCAATGTGAATCGCAACATTATTTTTATTTATTTATCAAATAAAATGCCTTTTCAAAAACAATTCACAAAAATGCGATTTGGGTCTGACTTGTAAGTGGATAAAAGTCTTAAAATATAAATATGTACTTTTATTTGAAATAAATTCCCACTGAAATTTAAATTTTTAACGTTAACAATTTCATACAAAAGCAACTCTGCATTTCATAGGAGTGCGTTCAGTCAAAACGTACGTGGAATTCATTGCATACTTTTAGGCCTAACTGTTAGTGAACTAGTTCACTTTTGCTACTAAAGACGTTGACAACATAGTGAAACTACATTCTACGAATAAAACCACGTTGAACAACCCAAATTTATAATAATAATTTAATTATTATACCCAATTTAAAAACATCTCATACAAGAATAGATTCTTTTGCACAATTTTGTCTTTCTCACTCTTTCTCCTTGTCACCATTGACATAGTTGGCAACGCCACAGAAATTTTAGCGAAAAGAGACCAGGGTGTCCCTTTCTTACTGCAAAACCGTCGAAAATTCAGTCTTGTTTTAGCGGCTGAGCGAGTGTGAACGGCGTGGCAAATGCGCGAGTAGTGCAATTTTATTTCGAATGTGCGAAGAAGAAAACTAAGAAGAGACCAAATTGAAGATTTTTCCTTTCATCAAGTTTAAACAAGGTAAATATGCGTTAGGAACAGCAAATTGCGCTAAAACAAAAGTTATGGGCATAATTCGAATAAAAAGTTGTGTAAGTGACGCGTTCGAGTAGTTTGAAAAAGTTATGTCGTGCATTTTTTTCATAGTGCTGTTACTTATAAGTAAAGTGTAGGCATCCGCCATATTGCTTTTCTTGTCTATTCGTCGTCGGGCGCACTGCTCGCTCTACCCAACTGTACGAGTACGAGTGCTGTCGCTTCTGCTGATGTTGTACGACGACGGCAATAACGAGATCGGCGAACGGCTGCCCTCATATAAACCGAGTTGAAGTGGCGTGGAAGAAAAAAGGAAATTTCTTGCTTACTGTCGCCTGCTCGCACGTAGTCTACTGCGTTGCTGGAATTTGTTAGAAAAAGAAAAAACAATAATAAAGGTGAAATATTTGTACACAGACCGCCAAAAACAAGATAGAAGAGTAAGATCAAAACAAAAGTGTTTATAATGATCATAAATTGTGTTTAATTGCATAGAAAATGAAGACGCAAATTGTAGTTCGTGTACTTTCTATGCAAATATATGTATGTATGCGTTCATATGTGCCTAGTTCGTGTATTCGGATTTGCTCGAACAGCAATTGATTTATGCAGTGGTGTGCGAACGCAGACATTGCGTAAAAAAATGGCATAAGAGTTGGAAAATTAGCGGACAAGTGCATAAATTGAATTAAACGAAACAACAACAAATTAATACTATTTTCCCCTAAATATGCGTGCTTCGTACAATCTATGACCTCCACTAGCGCGGGCTTGGTGTTGCAATGCAACATGTAGAATTAGAAGAGTATCCGCTATATATATCATACGTATGTGTGTATAGTTGTGCAGTGAAAAAATTGTTGCTCTTTATTGTCATCAAACCTAGGCTTTCTACAAATTTATCACACACATGGATATTTCCTCAATTTTATAGTGCACTTTAGTATTTCGTTCGCTATTTCTCTCGTGTACATTCAGTGCTTCTCGCTCGTTTCTACTATGTTTAATTAACATTGTTTCTTTCATCAACCATTCTCTTGAAAATAGCTTTTAAGAGGATTCATTGCACTTTAAGTTGCTATGAATTCATAAATTCATACTGTTGTCTTCGTTGTGTAAGCGTCAAACGAATAAATTTAGTAGCGAGTGAGAGACTCCTTAGCGAGTACTGCGTAGTGCCATGCAGCTTGCCTTTTCTCGCCCTTACATAGCGTTGCCAGAATTTTTTAGCTGGTTTTGTTTTGTGCAAGTTTTAATGTTTTTGTTTTGTTCTATTAAAGTGAGTGTGTTGAAAAAGTACGACTATGTATTTTGAGGTTTTGAAAACAGCTTTAAAGCAAAAATGTAAACAAACCTCTTGGGTTGGTGAACTATGGAAATTCCAAAATATTTTGGCGCGCAAAACGTCAATTTGTATATAATATGGTGAATAATAGTATAATTGTTTTATAATGCTTAATTTCAACTTACTTTACAGTTTTAATACGTTTTATTCGCTCCAATGATGGAGGATCTGACCAAGAATATAATATTCACTACGAATGCAATAGGCGCCAATGGGCAGCCTACTACTATACAGTATCAAACAGCTGACGGTACCATATTAAAACAGCCGAAAATAGAGGGACAAAAGGAGCAGCCCACATTTTATTATACCACCACAAATGTTAGTGTTTTTCAATAATGAACATACTATACTTTTCTAATTGGTGAATATAAGTTAAATAACTAATAAATGTTTGTTTTTGTAGGGAGGCGCGGCCACCACAGTTAATTTAGCACAACTTACCACTGATGACAACAAAACATGCTACATAGCGCAACCCGTTGGTGGTTACAACTACGCGCTGGTGAATGGCATGCAACTAAATCAAGGTGGCACAATTGGCATTGCCACCTTAGATGCACAAGGCCGTTTGCAGATTGTTAATCAGAATAAACCAATTGCAGCAGTAAGCACAAACAAAAAATTCACTTAATATCCTTAAATAAACTCAATTTTCCGCTAGTCCTTGCAGGCTATCTCGCCAATGCCAAATACCATCTCAAACATCAGTTTCAAATGCGACGTGTGCGGTTTAATGTTTTCACACTTGGCGCTATTGAATCACCACAAACGTATACACACGCAGGACGGTAGTGATCAACAGCAAGGCCAACCGGAAACCATAGTGGTGAATGCGCAAGGACTAGTACAGACACAAAATATAATCACAGAAAATGGCCAAATGGGGCAGATACAAATTGTGGCAACCGAAGCTTTGGAACCGGCCACAACTGTATTGCAACAGCAACAACAACAACAACAGCAGCAACATAACGCAGTGGTCACAAATGTCACCACGCAGAATAACGGCAATGAATTAGCCGTTAACACAACCAACCTCGCCGGCTTAAAATCCGTTAAACTCACCCAATCCAAATGCATAACGTGTGGCAATCAAATGCTGCAGCCAGCCAAACGCAAAGGGCCAAAACTGGTGCGCTGCGAAGATTGTATACGTGCCGATCAAGAGATGAACGCACCGCAAGGTCTCACACCCACACAAATTTTCGTTGCACAAGATGGTGACATAAAATGCGAACTAAATGAATTTGTAACTGGCGGTAGTGGGGACTCCTCGCCAATGGACCAACTTTCAGGGCAAGGTGGTATGTTGACACATCACCAGTTACAACCGGTGCAGGTGGTCACGGCTAGTTCACCCGAGTCACATCAACAACAAAGCAGTCAACAACCGCAAAATATTGCGCCGAAGCAAGAACAAACAAGCGGCCAATCGACTGCGATCACCAATCATCCAGTGAAGAAACGCAATCAACAGCAAGTGACCAAATGTCAAAAGTGCAATGGTTCTGGCGTGGTGTTCGTAGGATCAGGCACGCCGGCCACCAAACAGCAGGCTGTCAATGTAAAAGCAGAGTGAGCGCTTATTAAATTCCGTTTTATTAATAATACTATAACAATATTTTATCTCCACCCACTCAGAAACCCCAAACCGTTTACGTGCAACATTTGTGGCGGCACTTTTTCACGTTACTCGAGTCTGTGGTCTCATAAGAAACTACACAGTGGCGAAAAGAATTACAAGTGCACAATTTGTGGACTGGCTTTTGCCAAGGCGGTCTACTTGAAGAATCACGCAAGAATACACACCGGCGAAAAGCCTTATAAGTACATACCATTTATATATAATATATATCTATATACTAAAACAGCTTACTAACATTAATTTGTTTAACAGATGTCAAACATGTGGCATGCAGTTTTCACAATCGCCACATCTCAAGAACCACGAGCGCACACACAGCGGCGAGCGGCCATATGTCTGCGAAGTTTGTGATAAAGGCTTCGCGCGTCACGCCACCTTATGGAATCACCGGCGCATACACACCGGCGAGAAACCGTACAAGTGTGATATATGCGGCTCGGCATTCTCACAGGCTGCACATTTGAAGAACCACGCCAAAGTGCACTCTGGCGAAAAACCATTCCGTTGCGATATCTGTTCGGCGGCGTTTGCCGATCGCTTTGCGCTCAAGCGACATAGAGGCATTCACCAGAAATACGGTTAGTTAATATATTTTGAAGCACTTTATGCTGACAGCACTAATTTGTGTATTTGTTTTTGTATTTGTAGGACAAACTGCACCGCGACAACCAGCGCAAACGCAGCAGCACCAGTCTATGTCCACCGATGGGCAAAGTGTCATGATACATAAACAGGAAATACCCGAAATGGATGACGACGCACAGCAAGAGGTGATCATATCTGGTTTATAGACAAAAGCGGCAACAGCAACAGTTGCCACAAACGCAATTATTGCTGCGCAGCGGTATCAATTGCACGCGAACACCGCTTCCGCTACCCCCACTTTAACGGCGACAACGACAGCGAATAACAAATTGCAACAACAACAACAACAACCACAACCACTAAAACTGCAACAACAAACATCGTTAGCAATACCAAACCAAACGCAACAGCAAACAGCAGTTGGTGTTACAACAACTGTAACAGCCAATAGTCAACAGCAGCACATAACACAAATTCAACCGCCACAGCCACAACAACAACAGTCACAAGCTCAAAGCCATATGAGTCAACAACATTACACCACCACCTATTTGCATGACTCCAACAACACGGCTACAGGTGGAACAACAATAGTGCGTCCACCAATGCAAACTGTCAGCTACTATTATCAGCAACACACGGCAACAGGTGAAATAATTGTCGCTGCAACGCCCGCTGCCACGGGCAATGTGTATCCACATGCATAGAGCAGTTACTCGGCTGGAGCCAGTTAAAGGCGTTTGGATGCCATGGTAGTTATTGTTGTCATAATTTTGTTGTTGTTTTTGCTTTTTATTTTCAAGAACTTGTTGCAAACGTGGGTTTCAAATGTGCTTCAAGCACACATGCAATCTGCATACTTTTTTCACAGTGTAGCACAATTTTCCAACTACTTTATATATTAATGATTCTCAAGAAAATCGGTTGGAGACTTGTAATTACCAAATATTCAATATTTGCAATTACAACTTGTTTTGTGCGCACCGCTTGTGTTTCAGCTTTGTCTAAAACATTTTTAGGTTAGTGATTTTTCTTGGTTTCATGTGCCACAAAATGCAACTAAAGCAACACCAGATCAATTACTAACGGTTTAATTGATTTGATAGCGTCTCTAGTGCTGCTTTTAACATTTCAGCGGTAGAAATCGTCACTACTGATGTGCTGCTAAGAAAAATTGCTCTTCCACGTAAACTTTGTTAGTTCGCATATTTTCGAACTTGTTAGTTTCGAATAATATTTCAACTGATTTCCTAACTTCTTCTTCGCGTTGTGTAATTTTACTTACTGCTCAACAATTTTGCGACCAGATCAGCGTGGATAGTTGATTACGTTTATTTTAATTTTATATATAAATACATATATATTTTAAGTGTACACATAAATAATAATAATATTTCCATTAATTAGTCTAAACAAATACAATTTTTTAAAATAACAAATACGTACGAATAATAAATTAAAGAGTTATGATAAAAATAAAATTAAACAATGCAATATTCGCACCTTTGGCGTGTTCGAGTGTAACGTATTCGTATAATATTAATATTTAAATTTAGTAATTATTGCAAGAAGTGAAACATAAAAAATTAATATACAACTGTATATTAGAGAAAAATGTTGCACGAATATATGGGCATAAATAAATATATTTAAAAGAAAATTAATACTAGCGATTTAATACTTAAATAAGCTAATTTAAATCAAAAATACGTATGAAACAATAAAAGCGAATTTTTAGAAAATAAATAAAAAGTTGAATTTTTTTGTATAGTAAATTAAAAAAAAAATGTTTAAATTATATATTTTTTAGTGAAAATTAATAAAACAAAAAAATATATTTTAGTAAGCTTCACACATTAAAACCAAAATCAAACAAAAAATAATAATATATTAATAATAAAGTTTTTTTTTTGTAATTTATTGTTTTTTTTTTGCGGTGAAAATTAAGAAAAAAAATAAAAATTATATTGTTTTAATAAAAAAAAAGTTAAAAATTATATTTTTTTTATTAAAAAAAAAAGTTAAAAATTTTTTTTTATTAAAAAAAAAGTTAACAATTATATTTTTTTTATTAAAAAAAAAGGTAGAATTATATTTTTTTATTAACAAAAAAAAAAATAATATATTTATTTTATTAAAAAAGAAGTTAAAAATTAAATTTTTTTTGTTAAAAAAAAAGTTAGAATATTTTTTTTTTTTATTAACAAAAAAAAAATAATATATTTTTTATTAAAAATTATATATTTCTTATTAAAAATAAAAAAAATGTATAAAAAAATATTTTTTATGTGGTGAAAATTTAACAAAATAAAATAGAACATTATGTATTTTTTCCTGATTTTTTAAACTTTACACATTAAAATCATTTTTATTTTCATTATACTTAATTATATTGTTAACATTTTTCGCTCTATCACACACTACCATTTCACGGCTTAAAATTAATTAATTTCATTTTTAAAAGTAAAAAAAAAAATATGTTGTACTATTCAATTATATATAGATTGTGTCGATAGTCCGATAGCAACTATTTATCAAAAGTTTTTTAACTCACAATGTTAAAATCAGCTGTTTTGCTATGTGTTTAGCTTTATAAGAATTATAATAATTACTTTTCAAGTGTCGATATGTTGTAGTTTTTAAAAACAACATTTTGATATTTTCTTTACTTTTTCGTTATTTTGCGCTTCGTGAGAGTGACTTGCATTCTTGTTCTTCCTGATAGCTAAAAGATATAAGACAAACCTTTTGATTAAAAAAAAAAACTGATAATCCGGTCCATAAAAATAAAATTTTGTAAAAAAAAACACGCGCCGAAGTAATACAATCTGTAAATAACCGAATCATGATAAGGCCCAAAATTCATATATTTATTTTTGCTCTCATTATTTTTTATAACCTCAAATTATTATTTTTTATAACCTCAAATTAT